TTCGGGTTAATTATCAACTATACAACTTTTTTTTGGAAAGATTAGTATTATTTCTTAAGAGCTCCTTATATGTTAAGATCAAACAAATTTGTGTGTAGTAACGATGAATATAAAGAATGAGGAGCTCCTCTTGTACTAAGATCAAGCAAACCTAATGATAATTGAATATAACAAGATAAATAAAAGCATTAAAAAATATAACATTTGTTAAACTCAATTAATTGATTGAAAGTATATGCGATAAATTGATCCTTTTATCTTATAAACTTAAATAACGTCTTCGTTCCATTAACCTGCAAGGTATAATCTACATATTAATTGATTAACTAGGATTTACCCTTGAGTGACCAAATCAAGAATAATAACATAAAAAGGAAATTATAATTGACAAGTAATATCAATATTATAAAGCGAAATTGGAGTTGAAAAAGGATTACATTACAAGAATTCATCTCAATCCTAGGCCAACAGGTATTTAGTAGTCAAAAACATGAAAGAAAAGATAATTAAACGTAAAATATTGATAATAACAAATAATAAGGAAAGAAAAACTTATGTGGCCAATCTAATATGATGGAAGTACAATTTCTATGATGGGGAGATGGAGAGATGGATAGGTTAAGTGTCAATTATCAAATGTCCCTTTACTAGAGACAGAAGACCCTTTTATATAGAATGTTGAATATAAAAAGATACAAATTATCCTCTAAAAAGATTTGATTTTACTTCTAAAAGTGATATGATTTGGCATCCAAAAAGATATAATTTTTGTTCTCAAATTTAAAATTCAAATCCAAGTTCAAAATTTAAAATTTGAAATTCAAATTCACCACTTCCTACAATTAAACCAAGAAAATTTAATCTAAAGGGGTAAAATAATAATTCTAATGAAAAAGTAGACTAAAATATCATAAATAAAGTTGTAGAATGATAATTTATCACTTCTATTTTCCCACTTGATGCATCTAAAGCTAAAAAAAATTAAAATTAAACTAAAAGCGATGCAAAAATATTATATGTGGGATGATACTTATTTATGGGAAGTTTTAAAGTGACTAAGTAATTCATAGGTGTATACTTGATCATGAGATCCAATATATTCTCTAGTTTTATCATGCTTCTATTGTAGGATATCTTGGACTTTAAAGGATTTCACATGAGTTCTAGATTCAAGCTTTATTGGCCCACCATCTTTAAGGGTTCATGGTATGAATTTATAACTTGTGAGCAATGCTAGACAGCAGGAGGTCCTATTACTTAGAGACAACAAATGCTTCACTAGTCTTTGTTATATTGTGATGTCTTTTATGTTTAGAGTATGTGAGCTATTTTCCTATTTTATTTTATTTATATTTTGTTTATTGTGGACTAACAATGCTCGAGTTATTATAGAATTTGTTAGACGTAATATTTTTTGCAGGTTTAGAGTGCCTCGAGCAATCATTAGTGACAAGAAAAACTATTTTTGTACTAAGATCATGAAGACTTTACTCGGTGGATTGATTCTTTTATTGTTAACATAATGTTGTTCTATATGGTGCTGAAATTAAAAGTCACTCCATAACAAGAGTTTCAAGATTGATGACCATATAGTTAAGCACTTTCATGAGAGTCCTACATTTGAAGAAGTCATTAAAGAGATAACTTTAGCATGCCTACCATCTCATCACCTTAAAAGAGAGTCTTTCTCTCCCTTCTATCTTATTGACTTTTTTTTATTTTTTATGGATAATGTGTGATTTAAGTATAGAGGAAGTGATTTTCTATTTTCTTGAGTATTTATTTTCTTCTATTTTATAATTATGTTTGTGTTTTCGCATTATATTTTTTGTATTACACTATTTTTATTTTTACAAATTATGTTATTTTTGTTCTATTTTTGCTACTGGTCTCACTGTCATTTTTATTTTGTTCTTTTTTTTAACACAATTTTCATTTTCTATTATTGGTATTTTCTATAAAATTTTTCTATTTCTGTTTTTATATTTTTTATTATTTTTATTTATGCATTTTTTAGTTCAATTTTGTAGTATATTTTTTTGTTTTATTTTGTTCCTATTTTTAGAATGTGCTATTTCTACAAATTTTCCTATTATGCATTAACTCTATTTTTGCTATAATGTTTACAATTCTTGTAGTATTTTCATCAAATTTAAGTTTTAGAAAAAATCTATTAAAATAAGAATCACCTTAAAATTTAACGTATAACTCAAGATATTGTCAAAACAGTAAGTACCCGTTTGGCATACGGAATTAAGTATAAAATTGGACGTTGGAGATGGAATTGGGCTTCAAAATTTTAATTATCATGTTTGGATGTCCGTTCGGAATTTGAATTATAATTCCATAGAATTCTATAACAATTAAATTTGGCCCACTTTAATTCCTAGCCTACACACTAGGAATTTGAATTTCTAATATCATAATTCACAAATACACTCACATATCGTCCTCCTCCTTGTCTCCGTGATTTCTCATCTTTGTGGTTCTAATTTTCTCTATATACTTTTTTCTCTAAATACTTACTTCCTTTCTCTCTTCCTTTGTTCTTTCTTTCACCTATGGATCTTTTTTCCTCTTCTTATGTTCTCTTTATTCTCTTCTCCTTATAATTCCAGTTTTATGTTAATTATTAATTCTACTTCTTTTTCTATGTTCTCTTATTTTTCTCTTTTCCTCTTCCTTTTGTTCTTTCTATTCTTCTTTTACGTCGTCTTCTTTCTTTTTCCTTTTTTACATTTGTTTCATATTCTTCCTTATGTCTTGTTCTTTCTTTCTCCTTTTTTTCTTTCTCCCTTTTTATATTGTTACATGTTTAATATGTTTACGTTACTATGTCATATTGATATTTTGCACTTACTGCAAACTGTATTGTATTGCTATTCTGCACTTTTTACACTTGCTGCAAACTATATTCTTTATATAAATTATTTAATATTTTTTATGAATTGTTAGATGTTAGAGTTAATATTAGAAATTAATTCAAGAACTGTTGTTGACAGTACAAGAGAAACAAAAAAGCAAAAACTAGTGCTAGATGCAACAGAGTAATAAAGACATAGTAAAAAGTATAGTTTTGAAGGGATTATATCATGAGACTGATAAAAATTGTTATAATCAACTACGTCTTACTTATCATGTAAGCGTACAAGAATTTGTTGCAATGTTTCTACTTATTTTAACTCATGGTCTCAAAATAAAAATTCTCAGAAGCACTTATATTTAATTTATATTTTTAATTTTGAGAATTAAATTATATTTGTGAGCATTTAATGCTTCATCTAATTACAAGAAAGATAGTTCGTAATATAATATTAAATTTTAATAATAAATTAAACATAAAAAAATAAATTTATTATGCCATGATTTTTAAAAAAGAAATATTAAGTTATCATCTTTAATAATTTATTTAATAGTTATTTTATATCTTTCATTAACACATTATTTTTGAAAAATTTATTAAATAAAGTTTAATACAAAATTAAATTATTTTTAAAAAATTTAGATCTTGACACTATAGAATCTGATTTCAACTTAAAATTCTAATTAAACATTCTAAATCTTTGAGTATGCCAAGTATAAAATTGTAATTCTGAACCAATTCTAATTAAAATTATAATTTTAAATGTCAATTTTGATTTCATACACCAAACGAACTTTAAAAGTAAATTAGAATGTTAAAAATATAAAAATAGATTATATTGATTGTTCAAATCTAATTAAGATCTTTTTAATAAATATAATAAATTTGAAGTAATTAAATACTAAATTATTTAACTAAGCTATATTAATCAAATAAGTATGATTAAAATATTCGATAGTAAAATACAATTAGAAGAAAAAGGTACTCAAAATTTTCAAACTTTACCCCTTTTACCTGCTATAACGAAAAAGTAATGTTTATTGAAAACAAAGACAATATATATATATATATAACTTAACCATTTATTAAATTTTGTAGCATTGTAAATGAAAGTGAATTTTGTTTTACAAACAAAAGATTGGTTAGTTGTTCTCGAGAAACAACCTCTAATGAAGATTTAACCTTTTTTAAATTATACACACACACACATATATATCTATATATATATATATATATATATATATATATAATATAATATAATACTATCTATCATATTTTTAATTTTATTTCTCTTTTTAATCTCCCTCTTTCATCTACCTAATTCACACCCGTTTAGTAAGTAAAGATGAGTTCAAATATCATGAAGTCTATCTCAATCTATTTTATAATAGATCAACAGTAAACGGAAGAGTGTCATGTCCAGATTCAAGCAATATATAATTACATCAATTCTAAATCGATTTGCTAAAAACTTAAACATGTAAATTTGAAATATAACTTATAATTAATTTTAATCAATATTTTTGGTAATTATAAGTTATATTGTAATTTTATACTAAACAATAAATTAATAAAATGATTTGTATTAATTTAATTATTTAAATCTAATTTATATGATTATAGATAAAATATAACTTTACTTTATTTATACAAAAAATATTATTAAATAATTATACTAATACTTGTTCATTTAAATCACATGTATCTTCCATGAATACAATCTTATTTGAATCAAATTGAACCTCTATAAAAAACCAAACTCTTCGTCTAACTAGTTAACACTTTTTTTATAATTATAATATTTGATTTATTATTTATAAAATTATGATATTCATGTTCACTATTGATGTGTTTTAGAAAGAGATAAGCATAGGAGTTAAAGACCGCAAGCAAACCGACATATAGGGCACGGTGCACAGTAAAGATAAAACAATATGTAAACAAGGGCGAATTTGAAGACGAGTCCTCTCTCTTTCTCTCTTCCATTCAATCCCCGCTATTTGCTCTCTTTCCCTTCCATTCTTTGTATATTCTTCCTAAAATGTAAGAAAATGAAAGAATACACAACATTCATCATCCCAATTGAATGACATGAAGCAATCCAAAAAACATTATTATTCTCTTTCCGGCTTCTTCCATGAAAGATCGTAGGAAACGCAACAACGTTGTTTCATGGACCACATTCTTCTGGTGCACCCTCTTAATCGTTTTCTCTTCGATCGTCTTCACCACATTTACCTTATCGCCCTTTCGCCCCTTCTACCTCTCACAGCTATGGAAATGGAGAACTCTAACGATACAATCGAAAAACAACTCTCCAACAATTACAATCCAAGAAATTGTTATGCTTCCTGATGAGGCTTTGATTTTTCTCTACTACCCTCCTTCTTTTCGATTTTATGACAAATGTGACCTTCGTTGCGTTTATTTCTCAGCTGACTCAAGTCGCTCCAACCCTCAACTCACTACTCAGCCACCAATTCAACTCCACTCAGCTCGGTTCCACGAGCAGATCGTACGGTGCCCACTCCCACCACGTGGCAATACTATATCACTTTTGATTAAAGCCAAAGGTATTATTCCAACAAAAGACTCATCATCAATTCAAAAGTGGGACCCATTAGTTTATGAAACCCTTTTGGACAAAGACAACACCACCATTGTGTTTGTGAAGGGCCTCAATCTTCGATCCGAGAGACTGAATGAACCGTCTAGATTCCAATGCTTGTATGGCTGGGATTTCACAAAACCAAAGTTCTTTTTAAAATCTGATGTTGTATCTGCTGCCCAAGAGATTATAAGGTGCAAAACACCAAAAAGCATTCTAAGTGACCAAGCTCAAGTCCATTCTATCAAAGTATCCATTCAAGTTAAAGATAAAGGGATTTTTCCATCTATAGCCAGGCCCGGGCTTCGTTCAGCACTTTACACATCAAAACGAAAAGCCCATGAGATGTGTGTGTGCACCATGCTCCACAACCAAGCACGCTTCATGAAGGAGTGGGTCATGTACCACACCAGAATTGGGGTTCAACGTTGGTTCATTTATGACAACAATAGCGATGATGACATAGACAACGTGATTACATTCCTACAGAGTATTGGGTACAACATCACGCAACATTTGTGGCCTTGGGTCAAGACCCAAGAAGCAGGGTTTGCCCATTGCGCCCTACGGGCTCGAGCCTCATGTGAATGGGTTGGATTTATTGACGTTGATGAGTTCTTTAATGTGAAGATGAAAGGGAGCTTGCACCATGTGATTTGGCACCATGCCAAGCCCGGTAACAATGTGGGTGAGATTAGGACACCATGCTACAGCTATGGGCCTTCGGGCCTAAGAGAGATGCCACGAGAAGGGGTGATGGTGGGGTACACGTGTCGGTTGGGGGCACGTGAGAGGCACAAGAGCATAGTAAGACCTGAGGCATTGAACCAAAGTTTGATCAATGTGGTGCACCATTTTCATTTAAGTGCTCCATTTGTAACTGTGGATGTAGACAATGGTGCAATGGTGATTAACCATTACAAGTATCAGGTTTGGAAAGTATTTAAGGAGAAATTCTACAGAAGGGTTGCGACTTATGTGGCAAATTGGCAAGATGAGTTAAATGTGGGGTCCAAGGATAGGGTACCTGGTTTGGGGACCAAAGCAGTTGAACCAAAAGATTGGGCAAACCGATTTTGTGAGGTTAGGGATATGGGGTTGAGGAACTGGGTGTTGAGGAATTTTATGGATCGACGCACCCATCTTTTACCTTGGCAACCTGAGTTTGAGCATCATTTTAAAAGGAGGCGACGACGAAAATGGAAAAAGCCTCTTATGATATGATTGTTCTTCAAATCCTATTTTCCTTTTATTCTTTAACTGCTGTTTTTTTTTCTTTTCCGATTGTTCTTTATATCCCTCTTGCGATTGTTGATATATAGTTTTGTAGAGATTTCTGATGTACATAGATATAAAGTAATTATAGTTTTTCATGTAACATTTATTTAATGCATAATTTCAGCAAATGTGATAGAATTTTGTGGGCATAATATTGATATGATATGATTTATGATTGTTAGGGGATTTAATGTTAATGCTAGAATACAAAACAAAAACCTTGGTTATACCATATCGTCATTTAGTTTTTGGATTTGATTTTTATTTTAAAATGAGAAGATAAGGAAGTTGGTTTTCTTCTCTAATTAGTAATATGAGACTCTAATTAGTAAGAGGTTCTCTCACTCGTTTAATAGCATTCAAAATAAATGACTTTCAAACATTACATATCTAGTAACGAAGTTAACAAAATCACCGTGAAAATACATTCAAAAAATTTCTCGATCATCATCGAAATATGTTTCACTATAATGTCAGTAGCAAGTGAAAACATACTTTGAAATAGCAAATTCAACATTAGTCAACACGTCAAGTGTGTAAAGAATGACAATACCACCAGTCAATTTCTTTATATATAAAATAGAAAAACCAAAATAAATAATTCAACCCATTATTTATAGGTAAATAATACTCCTTCTAATCTTATTTATTAAAAATAAAAGATTAAACTACTCGAATCAAGAAAAGTAATTAATTCAGTTATATTTTTATAAATATAAATTTTATTCTAAAATATTCATAATATTAAATAATATAGTCATTGTTTTATAAACATACATTTAAAAAAATATATAATAAAAATTCAATAATTAATACATCTCAAATACATTGTATTTTTTTATAATTAAGAAAAAAAATTAAATTTGCTTATTATAAAAAGTATCTAGGGAGAAGAATTATTGATTTACAAAGAGAGATAAAAGGATGACTGACATTTTAATAACCTTATACTCATTTCTAATTAACTGTTCTACTTTATAAGTTTTCAGATGATCCTACACGTATGCATGAACATTATAAATGATAAGAAAATAGAAAAAAATTACAATGGAAGAAAACGGTTACAAAATGATAAAATAAAATGAAATAATGGCTTTGATAAGGAATTGTTTTAACCTTTACATTATGTTTGCTGCTTATTTGCTTTTGATCTCATCTCTAGGAAGTCCTTCTAACCTTCCCTAAAACTGCCCCTATGAATGAAATTTTCGTTGAGCCAAAGATATTATAGAACATTTAAATTTCAAAGAGCTCAAATGGTTAAGTGTACTAAAAATTTTAGAACCTAATCAAAATAGTAGATAACACATCATTTTTTAAAATTTTTCGTTTTACAAAACTAACTGATAAATCAATTATAACTAATTAGAATCACAAACAATAATTTTTATTTATTACAGCACAAAAAATTAATTTTAAGTATAACTTAAATGCTGGTAAAAATTATTTAATTTTATCAAGATGCAAGACAAACTGACTAGTTAGAAAAAATATTATTAAATAGAGATTAAAGACTAACTCTAGCTTCAATTTTAGTTTATACTAACAAAATATTTGGATGCCAAATTCACTTTGCAGTAGTTAAGTTCGACTTCGTGTGTTTTTTACTTAATACCGATAAGAACAATAATTTTTCATTTAGTCAAGTGAAACCAATATGAGCAAATATAGGATAAGCCAAGATATGCTTACCAAAACCTCAAAGGTGGTTCTCTTTTTTGAATTTCTTTACAAAAGGTGGTGGTTATTTTAAAAGATAGGTATCACTTTAAACTTAGTAATAGAAAAAAAAATTATTTTATATTCAAATTGGACTCGTAAAGGTCCAATCTATCAAGAGGTTTATTTTGTTCATACCCATAGTTTAAAGTTCCATATAAAGAATGGGTGAGATAGAGGTAAACAAAATTTTGAAATGCTCTACACTAATTTTCCTCAAGATATAAAATATATACGTAGTGAATTTCTTTTGTAACATCCTCAATTTTGTTATTCTTGGATAGAAAAAATAAAAATTTGGATAAAGGATATCTCGCTCAAGCGAGATGAGTCTCGCTCAAGCAAGAATGAGATAAAGTTGGCCCAATGGTCCTCTCGCTGAGAGGGATCTCGCTCAGGATGGGAGCAGCTCGTCCAAGCGAGATAGAGATAGAGCTCGCTCAGGCGAGGAGTCACAGGAAAGAGAAGTGCTCTCTGGACTCAATCTCGCTTAGGCGAGGTATAACTCGCTCAAGCGAAATTGTATTTCGCTCAAGCGAAATTGTATTTCGCTCAAGCGAAATTGTATTTCGCTCAAGCGAGAGTGTTTAGAAAAATGGGTAGTCTTGCTATCTAGTTGTCTCGCTCAAGCAAGAAAGGCTCGCCCAGGCGAGGATGGGAGCTCGCTCAAGCAAGAATGTCATCACTCAAGCGGGATCGCGCGAGTTTAGAAGGATATTTAAAGAACTTCAACCTTAAAAATGTTCATTTCTCACCAAACGACCTTCTCTCTTCATTTTCTCTGTCTTCTCTCATTTCTCTCTCTAAAGAGAACTCTCTAGAACTTCAAATCTCTTCCAAATACGAGCTCAAACATCAATTTCATTCGGATCTAAGTAAGTTTCTCAGAGCTCAGATCTCTATTTTATCCTTTTTCTTTAGTTCTCTTCTCATATTAAGATTTCTATCTCAAAATACTTAGAAAACTACATCTTTTGGACGATATCCCTGTTGATATCGTTGAATCTCTCCGAGAACTAGTTTTGAAGAACCGTTACCAATTAAAAGGAGTATTCTCTAGCTTTAGTTATATATATATATATATATATATATAGTGATTTTATGAGAAATCTGAGTAACCTAATTTAGTAAAAATCTACAAATTTTTATGAAATCACATGATAAAAGTGTATTTTTGGTATAAAGAAAGGTTTTGAGTTTATTGAAAATTAATGAAGTTGTATTCTTAGAGAAAGCTATGGGTTATGTAACGCCTCCATTTTCTCTATTAAAATAAACAAATTTTATGGTGGGTAGAAATAGATTCATTTATATTCATGTAGTTAATAATAGAATAAAGATAAAATTTTATATTTCCTTCTTATGAAAGTTTCATAAAATTCCAAAAAAAAAGTCAAGCTTCCAAGGGTAAAACTTTGAAACTTTGAAATAATCAAATAAAACTCAACTTTACTTCTAACAAATTATTCAGTTTATTTTGAATACATATAAATTTCAAATTTCCACCCAAGACATTTCCAAAATATTCTTTACAACCAAAATCTTCTCGAGGATTTAAATTTTAAATCTAACATTAAAGTCATTTACAAACTTTGGTTAACCTAAATTATAATTTGATAAAATAATACAATTTCTCAAATGGCTTAGTCCCTATAGAGCAATCTTCCTTCCAATACCCTTGGATTATGATCCTAGGACGGACCCAACACCTTTATTTCTTCACTTTCACGACCTGAAAATATTAGTAAGGGTGAGTATCTTCCGCCCCACTAAATCTCTCGTTGACAAAAGCAAGATAATTACATGTTTATATATACAATGCTAGAAGTATTATTTAACATGGATTTGTATTGGCAATAACACTCAAACCATTCAAATTGCCATCATAAAGGAATACATAGGACAGATAATCAATCATGTTCACAACTTCAAATCATGCATCTTTTTACTAATCTGCATATCATAATATATGTATTATACCACGTCAATCAACATGTCACAACACATGTGTCCTAATCACACCTGTCGATGTATTAGAACACATATATCATAACAACATCAACCAAAATGTTATAATGCATATATTATTACTATACAATTTTTATACCACTTCATACACATTACACTTTCACATTTATTTCAACTTCATATTCAATGCCCCTAGGATCCCTTGAGGATTTCATAGCTTAGATAGCTGTTGGTTAACCGCAGCAACACAGATACATGGTGCCGATTCAGTCTCTTCTAGCAAAGGTATAGTCAGGAGTCTCGTCAGGAAACGAGTGTGTGGCCTGTGAATGCTTTCATTTCTAGCAAATCATTGTGCACTTGTTCACACTTAGCATTCACCACCCTCATTTCCCTAAGATTTTCCCAAATCTTCTCCAGACTGTATACCCCAATTGTATCTCTGTAGCTATCTAAACTCACTGCTACCATTTCTCAATCCTTTCCACACCCTTTTATAGGGCATGTGTCATAATACGTGAGTCTTGACCAAATAACTTGGTGTATTACAATACATATATTATAAGTACACCCTTTGGGTCGTACCACAATACCTGTATTGCAATCACATCCATTCATCTATTTTGACTCTCGTATTATAATCACTTTTTTCAGTATTTCATTTAATTTATTCACACGTGTGCTCACTGCACTTAGCCATGCTCACTGTGGCACCGTGATCACATCACACAAAAAAACCATTCTTTATTTAAAAATAATCAAACACTTATATCAATAACATAGTTTCACTTATTTGGCATACCCAATTATCAAACAACATAAATATATCAAGCTTCAAATATCATAACATTCAGCAATTCATGGAACCACTAACCAACTCATTCATTCACAATACTTTAACACTTTTCATTACAACCTAGTTCAACCAATATCTATATACCACAATCATCAACAAACACTCGACACAAATTCTTAATAGTTTATACATCACTGATACGATACACTCAGTTCACCGATTAGCATGATATTGTCCTCTTTAGGGGTTAAACCCTCACAGTTTTGTTTCTCCTAGATATGACACACTAGGAAAAGGCCTCATGCTAGAAGGAAGGATGCCACGGCTATTTAAAGACTGATAAGTCACTCCCCCAACTGATGTGGGACTCATCATCCCCTCCCTCTTCGAGAGAGTCCGCCACGGACGCACAGATAAGGCACTTAAGCCGCCACGGATACGCTGATAAGGTCCATCGACTCCT